AAAATAGTTTGATGGTATTTAAAATAACAAGGAAGGGATCCGTCATGGGCACAAACTTCTCTTAAAAATTTGTTCCATGTCACGATATTTGTTTTGGATAGTTTGAGCCGCTCTTTCCCCCACTGTATTGTTGTTAGATTATGAGACCACCCATAAATGAATTTTAAAGCTGTTAAAAAAGAAATCCTCGACCCCTATAACCACGTTCCTTTCCTTATAGAAACGGTTTTGTTACAATTACGAAAGCATCTCCATTTAACTTCTTCCCATCGAACTTCATCACAATATTTGACCTTTCCAAATATCCCGGCGTCTTGAAAATAGTTTATAGCCTCTCCTTCTGAAGACGGGAATTCCCACAATGTGACAACATCCATAATTAAATAACACTAACTGACAGCTAACACAAGAAACTAAAAGTAAACAAAGGAATTACTTAGGTTAGATGAGATAAGAGAGGTTATGTGAAATGAGATTAGATAAGAAGGGAGGTTTTGATGCTACCTGCTATTAAATAAGTACCCACCAATTTTATAATTTCACCAAAAATAGCTCAAACGATTTTCATTAAACTTGTTGCAATGTTAAATTAAATAGTCTATAATATCAGGTTGGTATTAAGTTCATTGAAACTTTAACAGGGGTTAATTGTTGAATTTTCAAAAATACTTTAAATAAACAGCTTTTAATTTTGTTTATTTGAAGTGATTTAGCCTTTCACATTATAACTAGAAATACAAAATGAATAAGATTGAACTGAAGCTCAAGTGGCTTAGAAGTGTGTGCAGGAGTACAATATGCTTTATATTAAAGACATGATTCATGGCGAAATAAATGAAGTTGTTAATTTTTTTATTAATATTCTTTATTTCCAGATCAGCTTGGTGATCAATTCTTTGGCGTATTAGCAATATGTAAATTTTAAACAGTTAGCAAAGTGGGAATATAGTCTCATATAAAGACACTCCTAACGATACACGGTATCTAGTCAGGGACTTGTAAATATTGTAGAATAAGTGAATAATAATACAATAAAGCTTAGGAAAAAATAAATGAATCATAATAAAATTAAAAACAAAACAAAAACTGACAAGTAATAAAATATATAAAAATTAACTAAATACAGAGTATCCCCTAAGTAGAGGGAAATTTTTACTTGGGCGATTGCTGACCTAAAGAGCTACAAAAAAGTTCATATAAACAATGGGCCAATTTTGAGTCATATTTTATATTATATTACTTTACTGCCCATTGTCTATATGAACCTTTTTAGGTCTTCTGCTATCGCTCCAAAAATTTTCCTCTACTTACAAGACACCCTCCCTATATCTTATAATAGAGCTCATATTAAAATGTCTTGAAAAATTCTGGGTTACAGTCTAGAAGATGGTTAGGAGTGATGATATCGGGAGTTTCTATGGCTGCACCTTTTACTGCTGGTAGCTAGGAATGGTATTTGGTAAAGCGTGTTTTAATAAATTCATCTATTGTTTCTATTTGAAGTTCATGATGGAGTTGACATTTACTGCAATTCTCAAGATCTTATTTTGGAAGATCTGTAGTTTTTTTTTCATACAGAATACTGTACCCCACACTTCACAACCATACATCATTAGTGACCTCAATATTGTCTTGTACATTAGGAGGGTTGTTTCTGGTTTTAGGCTTGGCTTCCTGTTGGTGATGGGATGTAGTATTGCCAGCCTTGTGTAAGTTTGAGTTAATTTGGTGTTTCCAGGTAAGCCGACGATCTTGATGATATACAAAGGTATATTACTTTTTCGTTGGAGAGATTCCATGGATATTTGTTATTGTTGAGGACCACTTCATGAGGATCTCTCCGTCGTTTAAGGGTAAAACTTTTAGCATTGCATTTATGTATATTAAAGTTGATCTATTAACTCAAGTACTGCTCTAAATCGCTGAGGTGAGTTTGTACAATATTTATCGCCATAATTATGTCTTCGTGCGGAGAAAAGACTGTCGTCTCATCAGTGAGCATAGCTATAGAGGTAAACTGGGACTGCATGCTGTCATGCAGATAGAAGTGAGCCTAAGAACTGACCCTTGTGAAGTTCCAGCATGAATTGGTCTTATTGTTTAACTTATATTATTTATTTTTTCTGTGAATTGAAGTTATTATTTAAGGTAACGATCTTGAATCCGGAGTAATCATGTAAGTAGATATTTTACAAAATCAGATGGTGGATAAAAACTGATTTTAGCTGAAAGATCAACAAATTACTAAAACTTTATTTTTTTAAAATTATCTATCTTTAATTATATTCAACTATAACACGTTTTGACTGAAAATCCTGGCTACAAATATTTCTGTAATTTTTTTCTTATAGTTTAATTGTTTGTTTGAAATAATAAATTTCTCTAATGAGAAGTAATAAAAAATGAATGAATATGAACTACAAAAGAATTATATACTTAGCTAAACAAAAAAAAAAAAAATAACTTCTGAAGTTAAAACCAATGTTTCTAAATAAAAATAGTACAGATGTATTCTATACCTACAGGGAAGCTATGGATTTTAGAAAAAATAATACTGTATAAATATAGTCTTAGAGCGTACTGGATAGAGACGAAAAACTGATATATTTATCAGATGTATTATTGTGTTTGTGTTGTACTACCTAGAATTTTTATTTTCATTAACCTATAAACAGAAATACCTACAAATTAAAAATAGGGGGACAGCTGAAAGATTTTTTATGCATGAGCTGCACTATACTAATACTTTTTAAAGTGTACTGGGCATGTTCTCTAGGAGGAACGACTTGAAAACTATACACCTTGTAGAACAAAGAAAAACTTCAGAACTAAAACAAAGACAGAAAAGATTTTAGAAATATTATTTTATATGGCTACAAAAAAGAATTAAAAAGATTTTTATAATGTTCCCTTAGCATAGAATATGTATAGAAAAAAATACATTAATCTGACAAATATTTTTAAAAATATTAATAAATTAATCAACAATAAATTTGCTGCTTATATTAATTATTCAAATACGCCACTTATTATTAATCTTAAATTTATCTAAATTAAAATCAGGTATGGGATTCAAGATTTTTAAGGGTACATACTACAGTAGTTTAGTAGTAAATGTTGAGATTTAAATGGCTATGGGTTTTTTTTTATTGTTTGTGACTTTTGAGAGGCAGCATATAATTAATTGTCCATACCATCCATGCTTCATTTTCCTTTTGGAGTAAAATAAATAACACAACATAAAGTAATATTTTAATCATTTATTTCGTTTGAGAAACATATGTTTTCATATCCATATAAATATGACCAATCTTCATATTTACATTCCATATAAATTTTCTTAATTTTATAAAAACAGGTTTTATGTGTTGTCATAAGAACAGAATAATCAAATTTCTTTAAAGTAATTATTTCATTCAAGAATAAATTGTCTGTACTATTCTTCTGATAATATTCAATCATAGAAAAATTGTTTTTCTGAATATAATTATTTAAAACGCATAAATACAGAGAGAAAATTTCATAAACAAAATTTTATTTAAAAAGTTAATGCATTGACTGCCACCGTACTTTTTATGATTTGGTAAAAAACCAATTTATTTTAGTCATATTATATTATTGATAACCTTAATTGTAGTACATGATAATCAACAACAGAATATTTTATTGAAAATGAACAAAAAGTTAAAAAAAAAATCTTGCAAATTATCTCATAATTGGCTAATTTAACAGAAATTTCTTTCCAAAAAACCAACAGAAGTTTAATGTCTGCACAGATAAACTTTACTCTATTACTTTACATCTATGTTAGCAATAGATTTAAATTTGTTAGTAATAAATAATATACAGAGATGAGCGCATCATATTTGTCGTTACTGTATGTTACGTTACTTTATAAATATTTTTACAATTAAATTATTAACATCACGATAAGGATACCACAGTCTGAAAAATACAATAATATAAGTGATTCAGAATCTGACGAGATCTTAGGTGAGGATGGTAAATACAAACAATAGCTGTTATCTACCCTCTTAGAATTAAAGCGAGGACAGTGATGATTGATGAAGTTGTTCCCAAGCCTGACAGTAATCATGGTGCTTCTCAAGCTACCGTGTCAAATACAAACAATAATTTATGGACAGATAAATCAGCATAATCCTTAACTATTTATTTTACAAGAAAATAATGGTTTGAAATTGGATAAGATAAATTTTGCTGAGCAAAAACAAATTTAATATATATGCAATGTGCACAAACTTTTATGAACCAAAACTTATGAAGTTTAGAGAAGCATTTATTGACAGGTAGATTAAAGAAAAGATTCAATCATTTAAAAAAAAAAAATTGCAACTACATTTTTTACAGACTGAGAAATGCCAATAGAACAAGAAAAGCAAACAGCTATTTTCAGGGATTAGAGAAGGTTATCCTAATAATTATTACAAATAATGAAAATATTCTTATGCTGATTGATTAGGAAGAAACTTCATATGAATTTTTTTTTTTGTTCATTAATTAATAAAGCTTTCGTTCCTGTAAAACAATCTTGATTATTTTACAGGAACAGGACTTTTTTTAATTTTTCTCCCTCCTATCTATTCATATTTAAACTGATTACTACCAATTTCGCTAATTCCACAAAATAGCAAGTGAACAGACTAAGAGATAGTTGCTATTTGGCGTCCAAGACAAAAACATAATATAAGTTACATCTAAATGGCAATCAACTTATTTAAAGAATACAAATATTCATAATATGATGCCAAATAAACAATATTCAACTGCACGAACACCAAACATGTTGAAACTTGGATAGCACTTAAAACTATGCCAATAACAAAAATTAAAATTAAAATCTTTTATTTATTTGATTTTTAAAATAAAAAATAAAAAAGTTGAACATTTAATCCATAGATTCTTTGAACTAATAAGATACACGGGTAAATGATAAAATATTTAAAAATAATAAACAGCAAAGAGCTGATTTATAGGAGTATTTAGTGTCTCGAGGAAGTCCTTGTACTCTCTCTTTCACGCTCCCTCTCTGAGTGTCTTCCTTCACGCTCTCTTTCACGATCTCTGTCCCTGTCCCTTTCCTTTTCTCTTTCCCGGTATCTTTCTTCGTAATACCTGGAACTGTTGGAATAGAATTATTTAAATGATCTATAATAATAAATGTAATGATTTTCATACTTATAGAACAAATAAAAAATAATGTTGATTATATTTTAAATAAAAATATATAAATTTATATATAGTCACTTTATTGCAAAAAGCCATATTTCATAAACCTAAATTGTTAACTACATAGTTGAATTTTACCTTAGTAAAATCAGAACATAATAGACTTCCACATATCAAAGTGTTTGTCACACTTTGATGTATTAGGGTGTCCCACAAGTTATTTTCTTTTTCATAATTGTGGGCTGATGTGAAATGGCATTTTATTTCTGACCGATCACTCCAACCATCCTTCTCTTCATTATTTTCTTTTTCTTTATTTGTTGTTTAAGGTTAATTTACTGTGTTATATATGAACCGATCTGCTCTATTAACTTCTCTTATCTCTCTGGAAGCCTCTTGTATGCTTTTTACGAAATTGTTGACTTGCAAAATATTCATAGAGATGTGTTTTTACCTCACTTTTGAATTTGTAACATTTATCATAGAAAGAATTTTTTAAGGAAAGAAACAAGTAATAATCAGAGAAGACAAGATCTCGGGAGTCCTATCTTAGGTCTGTCTATGAAACATAAGCCAGTGAACGTAGGACAGAAACTCTTGCAACTAAGTCCCATTTCATTCATGTTGAATATGTTAGCATCACTCACTCACTGTCGACCAAACCGTAGAAACCAGTGAATGGATTAACTGAAGCTTCAATTTTATAAACCAAATTTAATCCCAAGATTTTTCAAAAACATCATTAAGCATGGAGCAGAATCTTTGTATCCATCCTCGTGAAATATTAGTTTGGTGATCGTCAAGAGGATCACGAATTTATTTTAAAAATTTGTTAGCCTTTTTTGAGTAAAATGGCTCTGATAAAGAAATATTTCACCTTATCTGGCTCTTAAACCATCTGAGTACAACCTGGTCAATTTCGTAGAGAGTAGATCATAGTTTTTTTTAATTTAGAAGATTTATCACATTTAACTTACTTTCGAATAGATTAACGATTTTTCCTGATTGTTAAAATAATAGAATGTTTTATTTCTGAGCCGGGCTACTATTCGACTCTCTCTTCTTCAGTCGTCATCAAATGAGAATCTTACTTCCAAGGAAAACATTTTTCTTTTCCACATTCCATAGACAGTATTAAACAGAAATATCAATTTAATGCTAAGAGTTGGGAGCAGAGAACGAAATGGATCCTATAAATGTGATGTTTATATAGAAAGAGAATGAAATAATGTATTTCTTTGAAAAGTGAGATGTCAAAACAAAGCTTTTCGGAGTTTGAAATCCTGCTGCTATATCAGATAATTTTTTCTAGAAATCCTAAAAAATCAAGTCGTTACTTCTAAATAGTTGCTAGTACAGTGGTCTCAATGTCCACTAAAAACTATATTACAAAATCCTTCTGAATCATCGGTATTGGCATTTCCCTGTAATTTTAAACAGCCAAAAGATAGAATAAGTAGAATAATATATATTATCTCAATTAATTATGTAGTAATTTTGGGTGAAAATGCGGAAGCTAAACAATTACTCTTATATGTCTAAAATATGTGGCTTATAATAGAAACAGCAATTATTTCAGTGACATGGATACTACAGGAAATAAATTTGAACAGCCAGAACAGACTAGTATATGGGTTCTACAATATCTATATCTCTGCACATATTCAAAATTAATAAGTAATAGTATAGCTCTCCTAAAATTTTTAAACCCAAGCCTTCCAACCACGGCTTCAACAAAACTCTTGCATGTTTTTTTTGTCTTTGGGGGAGAACTATTATATTGAGTTGGCAAATACGTCCTTTCGGTTTTTCTGTTTATTTTGATGTCACTATGATACACTTCTTATATGATGAATTAATTCCTAAGGTGGATTGTTTATCCTGTTTGTAATATGTCAACAACTATATTTGTTAACTCTTGTTGAAACTAGCTTAGTATTGTGTTTGCGATTGCACTGTAAATATGGAAGAAAATATCATTCATTATTGGCAAATTTTGTTGTATTATTATAAAAAAGATAAGTATACTGCAGAAGCTCTAGAAAAATTTGCAGTGTTTATGAGGATGATGACTCGAATGCACCTGTAAAAATTGGTTTGCCAAATTTCATTCAACAAAATTTGTCAATTTTGACATCAATGATGCTCAACGGTCTGGTCGTCCACATGAAACTGAAACGAGCAATGTTAAGGCCATTGTTGATCAAAATCCCTCCCAATCAGTGCGAGAGATTGCTATGGCACTAAATGTGTCACACACAACCGTAGAAAACTATTTGCACAAACTTGGCTATGTTTCTAGACTTTATCTTTGGGCCTCTCACATGATTTTTTTTTTTCAAAACTCAGAAAAAATGTTTATAACTTCAATACGACTTTAATTATCTACAAGAAATTTAGCAGGAATTTAGGGCCACATAAACTACACAAAATGACATCAACAGGACCTTCGTAAACAAACTACAAATGGAGATAACAAATAAAAACCTATAAGGAGTTTTTGTTAATTTATTCCTTATGTAGGCATTAAATCAAAAAAACATTCATACGGCTTTGAAGAGCAATAATTCAGCTTTCTAATGGATATAGTAACATCGAATTTGGAGAACATTCTGAAGAGTTATGAATGATCGGAAGGGTGTTGTGTTCCACCAAGGGCCCTTTGCACACCTCATTTGGTCACTCGCAATAAATTATTGAGCCTTGGATGTAACCTTAGTCCAACCCTCCCTATTCACCAGACCTAGCTCCAAGTGAATACCACTTATTCTGGTCTCTGCAGGACTGAATGGAAAGAAATTCCAAAAGGAAAACCACTTGGATCAGTTTTTTAACAATAAACTTCAGACATTCCATGAACATGGCATCATGCAGTTAGTGAAAAGATGGGAAAAAGTCATATTAAATAATGGTCAATATATTGTAAATAAATTTTATATCTATAATACATTGAGTTTTATTTCACCGTGAAAAACCGAAAGAACTTATTTGCCAACCCAATAGAATGGAAAAAATTGGAACATAGGTTATTTATTTAATAATTAAATCTGTGTCTAAATTACCTGTCATCACGGCTCCTCTCTCGATCCCTTTCTCGACTCCTGGACCTCTCTCTACCATAACTACTGCTTCCACCACTCTCTCCGTAATACCTGACACAAGAAAAAAATTATGTTATTTGAAAATAATATAAAATAAATCAGATCTAAAACTAGTAAGCACTAAATGCTATGCTAATTTTAGTACTAACAAGACAAAATATTAAATTTTTGTTTTTAAAAATTGGAAGAAAGAAGTTAAATAAGAAGCTAAGTAGCCTAGCTTGTAGTAGACCTGGGCAGAATTTAATTGAAATAATATTTCCGGAATAAATTGTTAAATAACCTTACACAGTTGTTTAGGAAATAATTTATTTCATTAGATAACTTGATAATTTTGAAAATTATTATATCAGGTTTAATAATATAATCATTTTAATAGATTAAACAGTAAAAAAATTTTAATAGATTAATAATTAAACTTTTTTTCCATTATAAGGGGAGGGAAACTTCGGCCAGAAAGCCCTCTCCCAGTGGATCAGCCAGTGTTCTACTGTAGTGTGATTCAACCTATTATAAGCTACCAACGATGCAATGCCCAACAACTAATTTGGAACTGGCTACATTTAAGATAATTTATGGGTCCCCATCAATGAGAAAGCCGGCCAGCAAGCTACACAAGGTTCTGAAAGGGATACAGCCTTCACTAGGCAATTTCATAAAGAGATTCTTGAATATCAAAAAATTTACAGCAAAGGAAGTTCGCAAGCTTAAAGAACTAAAGAATCATTCCCTTCCAGAACTAAGTGATTGGTAGGCACAAAGAGAAGATAATTCCATTTTATAATTTGATGTTTGTGGATCAGTAGAGCATGAGGCCAGCCATTGGAAACATTCAAGCAGTAGATCTCAACACAAGTAGTAGGTTTAAAGAATAACCTCCTTTCCTCAATAATATGGTCGACTATCTCGGATTTATTTAGGAAAACTAGGAGCTTAATCACCATTTTGTTTCAGAGGGTTGGCAACAAAGCTTCAATAGGCCCACCTAATAGGTCGTGTACCCTTCACATTCACATTCACCAGTGGCAGATTTTTAAAAGGAAAAACTTGAAAGGCTTCGTCAATATGGGAACCATGCAAAAAATGGCATACAATACTAACTTAAAAGTTTCATTTTAAGTTTAAACCTTATTGGTTACAGCTGCTGTGATGGCATTAGAAAAAATAATGATAATAAAAACTATGGAATTATGACATAAAATTTTAATTGCAACAGTAAAATTTGTATTTAATATTAATAGCATTAACTGGAGGCAACTCACACCGAGCGGGAGTAGGATTGATGACCCTACTCTTTACTTTAAATCGGGAATCGGGATGTGGTCTAGAAGACCACACTCGCGGTCAAAGATCTTCATGATCTGTAGCGGCAACAGGAAAAAAAAAAAAAAAAAAAAAAAAAAAAAAAAAAAAAAAATATATATATATATATATATATAAACACTCCTTCATACCTATCACGACTCCTCTCTCTTGACCTACTTCTTCGAGACCTTCTATGAGGAGCCCTATCACGTGACCTCGAACGCTCTGAAAAAATAAATTATTATATTATCACAGACAGTCTTCAGAATATTCTACATTAATTTCAATCACATGAAATAAATTAAAAATACAAACCTCTCCTACTTGAAGCTTGATATCTCTTGGCTTCAACACCATGCAAAGTGTCTTGGAGCGAGGATATCAAGATTTTACACCTATCATCATTAGATATCTTGGACTGCTTGATTAGAGATATAGCAGTCCCTAAAGTTTCAATTGCACTGGAAAATTCACCTGAAAACAAGTAAATAACAATGTTTATTGTTTTTGCCTTAAAGTAATATTATATATACTTTGTTTAGATTAATATAAATAAGACAAAAATACTTTTGTCATAAAGTAATACATAAAATTTTATACTAAGTGGATAAAGTAGTGTTAATATTGCAAACATGAATAATGCGACACTTAAATAATAGATTAAAAAAAAGGTCTGGTACAAAGTGAGATATGATACAAAATCTTGGGACCAATAATGTATAAAATAATTCAGTTAACATTATGTAGAAATGATTAGTTTTAGAAAAATTAAGACAAAAAAAAAAATGAATAAAACGTTTTTTTAACTGACACCTCGCCTCCTATTGATCATTGAACAAGCTTCATGAATGTATGTTTTAAGGTGTTATCATTAATTATAGCTAACAACATATATAAAAATAAAAATAAAAATAAGTAGTTTAAATCAAAGTGAATAAAATACTTTAAAACACAATGCTAAACAATAATACCAAGAATTCCTGTAGGTAATGAGTAAATTACTTTTTAAAAATAAGCATTAACGTATACATGTTTATCACTCAGTACAAATTTATTACTAATGGGAAAATACAAAACTAATAAATAATATTAATGTTTATTGCATGTTAAACCTGGTTTCCTGATTTGAATGCTTCAATTCAATTTAATTTCAGTACCGTACTATTTACTATAATTCCTCTATACAAAAATGTTTTTAAAACATTAATCAAACCAAAATTAAATGTCTTTGTTTAAGACATTTGCTCCGGTTCATTATGTTCAAGAAATTATTCTACTAATTTCTCAGCATATTGTCAAAGTCCAAATTATTTATTAATCGACACCACCAAACTACTTGGAACATGAGATATGAACTAGATCTATCAATATAAAATGAAATAGTGAATTATTTTTGTATAAAAGATTTTTATTAGTTCTGAAATAGATGTATACAAAATAGATGTTAGTAATAAAATAAATAGTAACTTTAAACTATTCAAGGTATTGTTCAAAAGAGGAAACCAGATTACATAATTGATTTTAATATAGAACATTCCTGAAGCTTAAACAACAAAAATATTGGCTTTTGAAATATTGCATTGTATTTAAAACAAGTTAAGAGTCATTTATCAGATTTATTTCAACTAATATTAAAAAAAAACAATAACAATTAGTCCTTCATAGCATAAAACTGAACATTTCATGGAATCGATTGAGAATATATAATAGGCCAGATGTCAGTCGACTTAAAAAATAAAAGACAAAAATATTTTCTTCTGTTTTCTGAGGAAATATAACCTGTAGCTGCATCTGAGATGGCCCTTGATATCGCGGAGCTAGAAACTGTCCTGTTCCGTGACATGATCTCCTCGAACTCTATTTCTGAGAACTGCGGCTGTTTATCCATCGAGACAAGCGGCTGCTGCTGAGGTGGTGGCTGCTGACCTCCCATCGGGTACTACTTGGCATAATAACATATACATCAATACTATTACAGTCGTTCATTAAAAATTCAAATTAATTACTAACCACCCTCCTTTAAATTACATACATAAAAATCAGTAACACTAAATAAGCCATTATAAACATACAAATATAAAAAAAAAAAATAAAAAAAAAAAAAGCAAATGAATGAATGGATAGTTATAAGCTATATTTATGACTAGAATGTATACATAAACTTAAATATATTCTGTACAGATTATGATTCAAGGAATATACAGATAAAGGTAAATAAAATTACCTATATATTTACAAACTATATCAAATAACATGGGTGTAATACATTAGTTCTAATTTTCCAAAACCCAGAAGAGAACATTATTCATTACGATTAGGGTAAACATAAAATGTGATACAATGGTTGTTTATAAACATTCTGAGCTTCTAAATTTTCAAATTTTTAGACAATGAATACTTGAATGAATGAAAAATGTACATATATACACCGCGGAAAGACAGTATCTCATAGAAAACAACCCATAACCCATAGAGCATTTTACTGGAAGATAAGAAGTGATGTTCTACAGCTTAATTTGACATATGTTAATTTTTAAGTCTTACTTTATAAGTAGTGGTGAAAAATTAAATAAGAATCAACCAACTACTATAAAATTAAAACTATTCTACTATAATTACAGTTTTGCCATATTTTTTCAAAACTTATCTCATTTTGAAAAGCTAATTTACTGAAAATATAAATCAATACAAAATCAGAAGAACTATTATTATTTCTTATGGTTCATGATAATATTTGAAAAAAAAAAAAAAGAGAGAGATAACAAAGAAGCCAAATCCTTTAACCTTTACTTAGAAATGCTTGAACATAAAATGTTGTTATTACTCCGAAATAAAAGAAAAAATTAATAGAATGAAGTGATATTCAAAATACATAATTTTATCAAAGTTTTTACAGGACTAGATGTGTTTTGAAATGCATAAAATGACTTTCAAAGAACGATTTTGTAAAAAATTTAGTGGATCAAAGCATTAAAGTGTAAGACAACTGAAACAAGGACATAACTTCATAATATATATATATATATATATATATATATATATATATATATATATATATATATATATATATATATATATAAATAATTATAAACTAGTTGCAAAAGAGATATTTTATACAAGGTACAATAGAAAATTAAAATAAATGACATGAAATTAGAATAGAAAGGAAGAAGTGCATGATCAATGAACACCTCACATATTGATACATGGCCAATGAAAAAATGAAGGAGCTTATTTTACTATGTTAAATATAATAGTTGACTATAAACTACAGTAAATTGAATAGAAGATCTAAGGCTTAGGTGGCGATAAAGAACAACACCAAAAATAGTCTAAAATATAAATAATTAGTGGATTAATAATTGACTTTTGTATGTATATTGAAGAGAAGTTGGTTGGGATGTTCGAAATAAAAATAAATACAATTTATTTATTTTTGCTTTGTTACTTGTATGACTGAACACCAACTTCTCTTCATTATAAATAATTAGTTTCTACCATTTTTAGTGTTATTGTCAAAAGCCACCCACCCTAACTGTCTTCTTGTTTTGTTATAATTTTCATTTATTTATTCTGAGCATTAAGGATATTTTAAATCATGGCTTATATCAGAGTTAAGAAATTGATAGACAGTCTTACACTAACATCCAGCAACTAGCCCTTATCCTGAATCCTAATATATTTTTATATAATTATATTTATTTATAGTAAAATATTTGAGCATATAACAAGGCCATTTCCAATGCTTATATATGACATTTTATAGCTATGATATATGATTGAGTAAACATATAACATAACTTGAATTTAATCTGGTTTGATGTATTTGACATGAAATGTTATAAAACTCATATTCGCTTAAAAAAAAAAAATAAATAAAAAGATAAAAAGTACAATACTATTAATCATGATATAATAAATTATTTTGAATAAGATTAACTATGAATGTTCTTATGTAACAGATAATATATTTGTTGGTGTTTAGGGCTTAGAGGCGTAAAACACAGAGTTCACCAACGCCTATAAGGTAATATATTTTCAATTACTGGTAATGTGTAAAACATCATAATCCTTATTTGTGACCCTAAATTTATTGGAATAGCTATCAATTATTATTATCTAAACCAATGCGCACTCTAATGGACATGGATTTATGTAAAAGAAATAAGATTCCACACATTAATTAATTTTATTTATATTATATTTTACTGTAATTAGTGTGCTGATTGAGTGGATAAAGGCTGGACTACTAGGCCCAAGAATGAGTGAGACAGATAATTGACTGTAATATCAGCTGTTGAGCTATTCTGGGATCAGGAAACCTTCCAGGAGAACATCCTGTGTGGAACGCATTATGGTCAGTAGCGTGGAACAAAAGACACTTTTTTCAGACAACATTCTAATAGCATTCAACAGTTGCTTTTTTTGTGCGAACAAATACACTACCAAATTTTGTTCTTTTATGTTTATATCCTCCGCGGGCTCATTACCGTGTATGGGGAGCGTTCCACGGGTGGTGGATGTGGGGATGGTCGGTGGAAATTCCTTGGAAGTTCCTCTCGGCTAAGGGTTGCGGTTGTGTGAACTGTATCCAGTTAATATAATTGAGGTGATTACATCGCGGAGAATCAAATGGGCTTGAAAAAATTGTTGGGCTGTTACGAAAGAATTCCTAAAAGGTTGATATTTGCTGTACCGAATGGCAAACATCCAAGAGGTAGACCAAAGCGAAGGTGGAATAATTGCATTACAGTCAATCTGAAGGGACTGGATTTGGATGGCGAACAGTGGAGGGAGTTACGTAATAAGCAATTGGTGGTGTCGACATCAAACCTTCGGGTTCGCTAAGCCTTTTATTATTAATTAGTTTTCAATTTTTTGGTGAAACATTATTTTTAATAACTATCAATATACTCTTCTTTACAATAAAAACAATGATATGAAATTTGGGTACTCTTAATTTTTACTTTATGGGCTTTTTACCTAAAAATTTAAATGATAATTTTGAGTTGAATTAATCCATTATAATAACTTATTTATCTTTTGGATTATTGTTCAAACACAATTTTGAAAATAATAATATATAAAATTACTTAAAACAACTCAATAATAAGAATTAGATTAGAATACCAAATAGGTTTCAGGTTGAAATACCTAAAACTGTTTTACGTAATATAAACATTATTTTTAATACTAAATTTTTTTCAATGACTAATTATTAATTATTATATTGCCTTTTTATTTTATGATTTTGAATAGGTAAATGTTCATGACGAAATTTGATTTTCAACTCCTTTCTAAAATCTCTTTTAAATCAGAACACTCGAAACAATCATTAAATTAATTCTTATTATTACTTAGTTTTTTAATTAGTTATAGATATTATTTTGCTAAGGAATATGTTCTAACAACAATTTGAAAGTAAAATTAAAAATTTATAATAGATAAATTCGACTCAGAATTTATATTTCGATATTTATGTAAAAACCCATTTATTTCAATTTTAGGAAAAATCAAAGAACAAAATTTAAGCACCCAAATTTCATCTCATTGTTTTTATAGTAAAGAGGAGCTACTGATAGCTATTAAAAACAATATTTGACTAAAATATAGTAAAACTAAAGCAGATAAAATAGATGCATGATAACCAATTATTTTTTGCATGAAATTGAGGAGATTGATATGGAAGACATGTGGTTTCACCAAGATGTCACACATCCAAAACAACGTTAGATGTTTTGAGTGAAAAATCATGGTGACGTCAACTGGCCACCAAGATCATATGATTTGATGTCAGTGAATTACTTTTTGTGAGGTTTTCTTAAGATCTGTGCCTGCATCAACTAACCTGCAATGTTAGATTTACCAATTTAACTCCCAAATATTGCAAAAGTCATCGAAAATTACCTCAAACGAATCAACTGCTGTGTAATCTCCAGATGCAGTCCTATGGTTGATATTATTTTCTAGAATGACACACTCCACAACATTTGCAATATTAATTTACTTTTATATAAGTTGCCCTTTGGCCAAGTATTTTCATGTAAATAAACATCATACATAGCCAGGCTAATTACAGTCATTATGGGATATCCCACACCCCAGTGTGCTGTCTATGCAACTGTTTTGTGGATTTCCTATTCCAGTATTTTCTTTGTTATTTTGAAACTTCAAATAATTCAGGTGCGGATTTCTAATGTTATATTTGTTAATTAGTGGTATTTTAAATTTAGATGATTATGTATAGAAACTATTTTTAGTATGGCAACTATCAAACAAATGTATTCTTCTGAAGAAATCCATAAGTTGTTATATATAGGAGTTAGAAGATGAAAAAGAGATGCATGGAATATATGAAATAAAGATTGCACAGTAACATTTAATCAAATGTGTCATGTGTGTTAACAGTAAGAAAAAAAAGGAGGCTGTCTCTTTGAATTTTCTTTGGAATGTTGAACCGTGCTGGTATAAACGACATGATATTGTTCAGCTTAGTTAACTGAGGAAAGAAGATGAAATCGAGAAATTATTTATTTGGATTAGGCTATTCGTTACTTCAACCCTGTTTGAAAAGAAGACTGCAAGTGGAGACACAACATAAAAGACATTTTGGGAATTAAAGAATAAATGACTACTGTTTGAAAAAACAAAACAAATATTTTTTTTGCACGAGAGATACAGATATGAAGACAAAAATGTTTTTTCAGCAATGTAAGAGACCTATCTGCAATGAACACAGGACGACAGTTTGCTTAGATTGTTGTGAGTGAATGATCACATAAATGGTCCCCACTATAGGTTTTATTATCTTTTTAAATAAAAGAATATTTTTTTACTTTATTTCGTATATATTTTACATTCCAAATATATACATTTAATTGATATAAACTTAATGTATTTTCAATAGAAAAATACTGATCCTTTTTTGATTTTTTAGTGATGTAAATGTTAACTTTTAACTTTATGTTAGCATATAAAATATATTCTCTAAGGTTACCTTGAATTTATTAATTTTTTTGTTTTCCTGATTGTTTACCTTATTTCTGAAAAGTATTTGAGTCTTCCAGAGTATGACAATTAAATTTTATAAGTGTCAGAATGAGTTGACTTTTTTAAGTGAGTCGTTCTAGGGTTAATAACAATGCAAGGTGAGTAAATTTAGTAACGAATCTGATTTGTTCTCATTTTTTTATTCAAATAGAATAACAAATACACATTGCCTCCTTCAATGTAACAACATTGAGAAGCCAGTGCTTAAGATGATTTTTTCATTCCTCATGGCAGTGGACCTTGGATACTGGAATAGCCTTCAGTTAGTTGGTTGCAGCTGTTTAAATGTTTTCCAATGTCCCAACCCAAAATGTCGCCCCTTGAGGCTATTTTTCAATCTTAGGCTGTTCTTTAACAGAAAGAAGTCACATGGACTCAATTCGGATGAATAAGGAGGCTGAGGAGCCACAGAAATGTCTTTACTGGCCAAAAACTCATTTATAGAAATCGTGGTATTACAAGGAGCATTGTCGTGATGCAAAACCCACATCTTGTTTGATGATTGGTCTCACACCCATGACCCTTTTTCGAAGTCTCATGAGAACTTCTCAGAAGATGAAGTTCTTAAAGATGAAAAAAGGTTCTTAAAGATGAAGGCCTTCCACTGCAAGGCTCGTCTTCAATTGATTCTCTTCTTTCTGAAAATTCCTAAAACCTGAGTTTCGACAAAACACTGTCTTCATAGGCCTTTTACACTGTTTCCAAGTCTGAAGCAGAACCTGATAGCACAACGTTGTTCGAAATTGATGTCACTAATTTTTAGAACGCACTAAAAAAAACCTTGCTCACAAAAAATTTACTGCAGGCAGCGCAACAACTCTAGTGAGTTCAAACTTGTACTGGACGCGTATCAGATGATTACACCTGCCTACCCTTCCATGTGCCATGTTCCCAGTGTTTCCAGGTTAAAAACTATAAAATCAGTCTCATTACTTAATTTACACAGCTCCTATAACTAAGATAATATTATGTTATCTTAAGATAATCACAATAAGATAATGTTGCGTTGTTTTTTCAAATTAAAGTCAGGAACTCAAATTGGATCATCCTTTTTAACAAAATATGTTATCAGTATTTTGAGCCCGAATGTTTAAAAAATTCAAGGTATCTCACTGAATAATTTGAGCCATGTAACTTGAAAATCAGAAATTGGTTGAGACGTTGGCTCAAACATTATTACATACCAACTAAAGGAGAGACTAAATACATTACTCACCTAGTGTCTATACTAAAAATTAGGCACCATTTTAATCAGGCTAATGTGTAAAATTAAAAGATAATAACACTGTTTTATACAACACAAGAAATTAAAACTTTATATGTTATGTTGGAAACTTTATAGTAAATATTAACTTTTATTTTATATTGATCTGCTTATAAACAATTAAAATTAGGCCAGTCATACCCTATAACCATGTTGATGATAACAAATATATGAATAATATATTATTGCTGAAATAAGATTAAAAATAATTATCAAAAAAAAAAATTAAAAAAATCTATCACATTAGAGAAAACTCCAATCAGGAAAAAGAAAATTTATTATTACTGATATTTACATAGTAAAGATCAAATTAACATTTATATTTTTCAATATACAGTAGAACCCTGCTATACCGAAATAAACAAAAAACAATTTTTTTTTTTTTTAGATTTGACTAGTTTAAGCAATAATGCTATAAACAGAACTGTACAGAAAAAAGATTTACAAACCAGAGCAGATTAATAGGTTAACAAACAGCAAATTAGGTCAAATTTTGTCCATTTTCTGACTAATTCTTTTTTGTACTAAAATTGTGAATTATTTTTGGCATGAAATCCAAGTTCAAAAAGTTTTGCCGCTGAATTAAAAATCTTTAAAATTTGTTGTTTATGACCTATTTTCATCCAGGTTTTTGTTTAAACAAAATAATTTTGTCAGAAAATGAATAAAATGCATTTTGATCTGGAGATATTTCCAAATATTTCACTATATTGTGAAACTAAAAAAAAAAAAAAAGAAATTATTATCTCAAGTTTTTCAGAACACGCAATAAGCTTTAGGATTTTTTTAAAAACTTTACGATAGATAGGGCAATATGAGGTTTCCAGAAGAGGTTTATATCAATAATAATCTCTAACATCATTAATAACTAAAGGAGAAACGGTAGCAATAAGGAGGAAATTGGAATAGTCTCATAAAGCAGAATAAAGATCTTAGATTAGCATACCAATGGCTAATTGGTTTATGGCATAATTATTAGGTTCTTTGGACCAATGATTTTTCACTTCAACTTTAATAATTATACAACATTTAAATATATAAACTAATATTATTAATAGAATTAACCTGAATGAGCAAAAAAAAAAAAAAAAAAAAAAAATGAGGTCTACCTATCAAACTAGCATTATTCATCATTAAAAATTATGTAGTAACATAAAAAGTATATTATAATAAAACATACAAAATAAAGACACACATTTTTTTAAAAAGAAAACTTAAAATAAAACTTTTCTCAGTTGTACTCCTTTTTAATTAAGAATTGTGATAAGCTAATTTGACAGAAATAATAAGAAAATATTTTAGGGAAAACAGAAGATTAGTACAACTTACAGAATATTGATAAATGAGGAATTCCAGACCAAATTGTGTCCAGTCCATTTTTGGATAAAATTCATCTTGTACCAGTTATTTTTAGCAAGAATCCCAAGTCTGACATGTTTAGGTTCATATTACTTTTTGTAACTGAATTATAAAAACTTCGAAGTTTATTGCTAACTATAAAATGAATTTCATCCATGTTTTTGACCGGATCAAAATGAAGTTTGTGAATAAAAATGTAAATGGACTAAAATGAATTTTGATTTGGAAATCTTCAAATACAATATCTTTTATACAAAATAATACCAGGATAGGATACATATTACCAGGTGGTAAATTAATTCTATATTATTATAAATACCAAATAACTGTTAAAATAAGTTGATAAATCCAATATTGAAATTTAAATTAATTATGTATGTTAACTAATCTCACAGAAAATCCCAAGTTTTACCCCAAAAAATATTACTTTTAATTTCAGCATGAATAATGCAGCCAGTAAATTTAAATCTAAACCACAAATAACTAAATTTGAAAGAATATTTATTTATTTTTAATAACGATTTCACATCGATTTGATAACTAATTTGATAATCAAATAAACTTGAACTTTATTTTTTTTGTTTTGTTTCCTAATCACTATCTTTAAAAAAGATGTCACCTATCATTAGACACTACAATTTTATGGGTTATATTATCGTACATAGCTTATTAGTTATATGGTTATAAAATAAATAAAAAAGAGATAAAACTTTGACCAGAGGTTTCAACTTTAGATATGAAACTGATCTTATATAAAAACAATGCCAATAGAAATAGAAAATAATTAAACAAAGACATGATTATTAATATAACAAAACAAGAAATAAAAATAACTGTAATAATAAAATTTGTTGAATTAATTTATTCAGTAAACCCTCCCTCAAATTAAGTTTCACATGCAGAATCAGTCATTTCAACAAAATGATTATTAAACACAATATAATAATTCCACAATTTATGTTCCCTAAATAACAGTTTTCTGCTAAAGTATTAAATTAAAAACCAGAACAATATTTTTAAATATAATAGTAGTACATAATTATTCACATAAATTAATTTAGAAACACTGACTCTTAAGATGATCTAAAAAAAAAAATTGATGTTTAGTGTGTGCCATTTGTTAATTATATTGATTATTTAATTAACAATTCAACATATTTAAAATCAAATAAAAGAAAAAAATATTAAGATATTTTTGACAAATATATAAACAAAACTACAACACGGAAAATTCTCAAAACGAATATTCCTGGTTTTAAAATCTGCCTTAAAAAAAATTTAACTAAAAGCCTAAATTAGAGATAATGTTCAAATTTTAAAGCTATCTATTTCAATACATTCGCTGAAATGCTCCGGTCAACAAAACATAAAAACAGCTTCAAAAGGCAGAGACTGTGTAAAAACATATACTTGGAGTACTTCTGACAATACACTAAACAATAAATATCATACATTGATACAATAAAATAGGCAAAAATTTCAAGTGAGCACAGTACCTGTTGCATGGGTGGGTGATGGGGACGTGTCTGAGGAGGCGGTGGTCCAAAATCCATAGAAGGCCCCGGAGGTGGGGGCCTAGGCGGAGGAGCAGGTTGGAAGTAAGGTCCTCCAGGGTTCTGGTTTGGAGGCATTCCTGAAAGAGATACTTCATAAATATTTCAAAATATTTACAAGAGCTCATTGAGTCATTTGAACCATTTAACTTAAAAATCTGATTGTCGTTTGTCCAGTAAGTCGTTACATACCTTTTAATGGCCAGTTTAAATACATTTTATACAATAATTTGCCATTTTCAGCCTAAATTGTTTAAAAACACTTACAGGATTTCAATGGAAAAGTAAGACCATTAACTTGAAAATTGGTCCTGCTGTTCGCCCCATTGAGTCGTAAACATACCATTTAAGCAAATTGATTAAATAAATTGTATTCAATAATGCGTAAGTGTTTTTAGCTCAAATTATTTCAGAAAACTCACTGGATTTCAACAAATCATTTGAGTCAACAAACTTAAAAATCAACCCACTCGTTCACTTAAAACATTGTTAGTAACATTTTAGCAAATCAATTAAACATTACATAATATCCCGGGTCAGTGTTTTTAGCTCTAATTGTTTCAAAAAATTGATAGACGCCTTTTAGCGGGCAACCTAAATGTATTTGGAGTGTTATTATAACTTTTTCATTGATAAATATTAATTTTAATAATTGTCTATAACATATGTTTTTTTCTGACTACTGCAATGCAATACAAAGGTTACATAACCCGCCAAAAAGTGTGTGTGTGCGTGTGCGTAATGTTTACTTAATATCTTTCTGTAATAATAGACAATTAAGTATTGCGATATGGGAAATTTAATCAATGTGATTTTATTTTTATATTGAAAATGGCCTAGGGGCTGAAATGTTGAATGTCAAGTACAAATAAAGTAGGGCTATTTGAATCTAATGTGTTTTTATTGTTAAATAAAATACTGAACAATTTAAAAAGTTTTCATGCTTCCATTTATTTTTTTTTTTTTTCATTTTGCACTCTCCATTCTTATCTATTTAATAGTTTTTCTTGATTTGAAACTTAATACATAGAGATTGATAATATAGAAGCATGTAACATCATAAGAAGTTACAACAAAGACAAAAATTTGGGATTATAAAATCAATCTTCTTCTTCTTAGATTTAAAAGTATTTATGAGTAGGATAAAAAAGAGTGAATAGGTAAGTGGGGGAAAAATGACTGACAGTTCAATAAAACATGAAAGATATTTCCTTGTTATAAAGAAAATTCTTCATTAATAATTATTGAGATAACAATTCAAACTTTAAAGTAGTCTATTTATTTATATAAGATTTAACTTTCACAATAAACCTACTATCATTATTGGTCTTAGTTTAATATATTCAGGATTAACATAGCCCTGAAAATCTCAGAGGATCTAGAAAAAAATACTAAGTGTCATAAAATAGACCAAGTTAAGTCATGGAATGAAGTGAGGAGATTTTCTTGTGACAGATGAGGATGCATTGTTACCTCTTTAAAATATTGAAAGTTTGCGATTTAAAGTAGATTTTTGTTATTGCCTACCATCATATTTTATAACAGCTAATCTGGCAGTAGTTTCTATACTATAGTATTTTAACTCCACAAGTACTACATCTTCCAACAACAATTTGTACTTAATAATATCTATTTAAAGAGATAATTAGTTACCTTGAATAGGTGGAGCTGGGCGAGGAGGTGGAGGCCCCTGCTGGTGCATGCCAGGCATCGGCATACCTTGCTGCTTCCCTTGCATGCCCTGGCCCACCATTGGACCGTAACCTGGTCCCTGCATACCTGAGCACAGGACAACCAATATTACCATTTCTAGTTATTCAGAAGAAACAAATTTAAATAATTTGATAACCAATGTTTACAGTGTACATAAATCAACACATTACGGAATATTAGCAGCCAAATAAAGAAACATAATCAGGTATGTAACGAGGGTGAAGTACCTCTTAATTTATATGTTTTAGGAACCAATAAGATCTTCAAAATTTCGTTTTCACAAGCGCTAGAATTTATTTCTGCTCATAATTAAAGTTCAGAGTGCATTGTGGTAGGAGAAATTATTCACTATCCAATAGGGTATAATTTATTATACCATCACGAAGGACCGAATACGGCTGTATTTACATTTGTAATAGTGAATACTCAAATTTACATAAGTGAATGGAAATATTTTCACACAACCTTATTAATGAATACTCTTATTTATTAAAAAAAAAAATTAATTATTTTAAAATTTAAAAAAATTATTTACTATATATATCATTTTATTTTTATATATAGTATTATATTCTTCATTTTACAATATGTTATGTTACAATGTATTATGTTATGATAATTATCACTCGTAATGTTTGTACGTAATATAAATTCTCAAATCTTTGTGTTTACACTTGTAAAAGTGAATACGGCAGTATTCAGGTTTATTAAAATGAATACGCTTAAATTTACAGAAGTGAATGGAAATATTTTCACAAAACCTTATTAATGAATACTCTTATTTATTTAAAAAAATATATTTACTATATATATCATTTTAAAATATATTATGTCAATTATGTTACAATGTATTATGTTATATTTGTACTCGTAATGTTTGTACGTAATATAAATTCCCAAGCATTTTTTTTTTTTTTGATCCATCCCCACCCTATCCCGTACCAGAATGGAAAGTCTGCGTCTATGATTCTAGACGTGCAGGATTTTCGCTGCACTGTTTATTTATGGGTTGCTAATGGCAAATAAAGATAAGTTTAATGGATGTTCAGGGTTGGTACGGAACGATACTCTGGAAATTCCTAGGGAGAATACATGTACATGACAGCCGTAAGTTGAAGCAAGAAAGGGGCAAGGATTGCCAAATTTGGATAGTGATCTTTCTGGACCTGCCATTCAGTATGTAATAAAGTGTAATGTGTGAATATAAGTTTTAATGTGTTGAGTTTTGCATATAGAACAATATATGAAATTGATAGCGAAGCTGAGTCTGTTTGTTTAGCAGGTTCTTGTAATCTGGATGATCGTGATTTTGATTTTCAGATCAGTAACGGCTCTTTAAGAAATTTCAATATTCTCACCCCCTCTGAATTTTTATTAGGGGGAGGGAGGGAGACAATTCGTCTTACCCTCCCTCCGAAATCTGCGTTTGTCTAGGACCATCCTGGGAATTTATATTACGTGGAAACATAATAAGTGATAATTAACATAACATAATTAACACAACGTATTGTAAAAAAAGAATATAACATTGTATATAAAAATAAAATGATCATTTTTTTATAATTTTAAAATAATTAAATTTTTTTAAATAAATTTGATTATTCATTAATAAGGTTGTGTGAAAATATTTCCATTCATTTTTGTAAATTTAAGCGTATTCATTTTAATGAACATGAATACAATTCCATTCACTTTTACAAATGTAAATACAGCTGTATTCACTTTTACAAGCCGTATCTGTATTTACATCTGCGAATACGTATTATCTGTATTCATATATCTTCTTGTGAATATAAATATATTCGTAAGTACCATAAACATAAATGATATTCATATTTATATTTTCGAATATAAATATGCCCATCGCTGGTATGTGTCTGTATGTATATGTATATATATATATATATTTTTTTTCCTCCCCCCCCCTATGTGGCAACCCCATACAAGGATCGTTTATTTGATTCCCATTCATGCTCCATGCCTTAAAGACATACTACATGAATTACAATTGTTTACATACTTTTATTTTCTAGTTTTATATGATATATTACATGATTTTAAGTTCAAATTTATATATATTAACAAACAAAAACTATATATATATATATATATATATATATATATATTTCGTTTTAAACATAGATTTAAGAAAAAATAATGTTAACAGAGTAACAAAAAATTCAATCTAAAATAAATATATTTTTTGACACCGTAACTTTGTTATAGTCATTATAATGAAAAACAGTGAAAAATCATTTATTCAATTATGAATTAAATAAATCAAATGAATACCTGGAGGTCTAGGCCAGTCAGGACGTGGTGGGGGAGGTCCATGCTGGTCCATTGGAGGTCCAGGCATCCTAGGAGGTCCTGGGTACTAAAAGTTAAAAACAAGTTTTATTCAACGAAGTTAGCAGAATGTGCTAAATATCATGGGGGAAAAAATCATCAAAACTAAAATGTGGACAATTGAATCTTATTTAAACAAGCTATAACATTTTTGAACACTAATCCTCGACACATAATAATTTCTCAATACTAAGATTAACCACTAAACAGTTAGGAGACCAATTATTGATATTTTTAAATTATAAAATAGCAGTTTAAAAAAAAATTGTATACTAACCATGCCAGGAGGTGGCTGAGGGGGTCCTTGCTGCTGCATATGGTGAGGAGGTCCAGAAACCCTAGGTGGTCCTGGAAAGATATTAAATGCAAAATAGAACTATAATAATTGAGTATTAACAAAATATTAAATATTTTTATTTAATAAGAAGCTTTCACAGACCAGATTTGTTTAACTTATTTTAATAGAGAATACTTTAAAAAAACTTCATATTTAGTTATCTTCTTATTTTTCTTTTTTATTAGGAAGCTTACGTTTATAATTTTTTCATATTTTAGACAATAAAACTTCCAATTTTCTTCATATTTTTTATTTATACTTGTTGTCTCTTACGTTTCGGGACAATTTTCCCATCATCAGAGTAATATTTTTATTTTTACTGAAATTATGCACATTATCTATATTAACTTTTATTTAACAATACCACTCCAATTTATCTATTTTACAATTATTTACCATCCTTTTTTTTTTTTTTTTTTTTTTGGTGTGGCACTATTGGTCAAAAATTAAACATTTGTCACATTTTTTAAAAATTATTTGGTGTTACACATATTCATTGATACACTAATCAACTATACACTATTCTTTGTAAGATTTGAAGAATACTCTAACGTAAGAGACAACAAGCATAAATAAAAAAATATGAAGAAAATTGGAAGTTTTATTGCCTAAAATATGAAAAAACTTCATATTGGTTATCTATAATCTTAGAGGTTCGTTTAGGTTCAGAACAGGCGTAAGAAATTCATAAATCATTGTCAATGTCTGTCTAATTCACAATTTCTCAATGGCTATTTGTTTAAAATTTTAACAGACCATCATTTTAACATATGACCTATGCTTTGTCAGAACTATTATAATGATAATTTAATTAAATATGTAGGCACATATAATTAAGAACCTACAATAGCTATTATAAATCTTGCTAAATTAGAAAAAAAACAAAAAAAAAACAAAACAGCCATAACCAGTCATACTATAGAAATTACAATTACTACAGAAATTACCAGGATGGCGGATGCCGTTATGATGCCACTGCTGATTGTAGTGCGGTGGCTGGTGGTGGTGCTGCGGCCTGGGGCCCTGATCTGGTGGCAGCGCATTGGTCAGTACACCAGGCTGCTGGCCCCGAGGGGGCATCTGGCTCTGCTGACCTTGTTTGTTACCGGCCGCGGGTGACCTCATCTTAGCTTCATTCTCAAACTGTGAAAATAGAGCCATTAATAACAAGAAAAAATTGTCTTATAAAAATTAAAATCAATATCTTAAAATAAAACCAGATATTCTAGTTAAGTAACTTAATAACCTTGTTATGACAACTAATTCTTTAGTCATGGTTTAGTCCAGACCTAATCAAACTTAATTGTTGTACATCCCACTCTGATGAAGCATAATAGTACAGTATTAGGTTAACATAATTTAAAAAATGTAATATAAATAATGAAAGGATTAAAACTTTATTTTTGTGCTATGATTCAATATGATTAACAGGCATAATAACCCTGCAATTTATCGCTCTAAAACCCAATCCTACCCTAACCTCAATATGATTAACTCTCGAACCTTCATTAGTGGGATATTTATTTATACTTTCACTAAATATTTCAGATTCTTTCAGTAAAATTTTGTCTTTGTAGATACCAAATGAAGACAGGGCATCAATAGCTACGCCCCAAACCTAAAAAAATGGAATTAGACAAGCTAAATGTCATTTTTGGTGTGTAGGCTAAATAATCATTAATAGATTTGGTGTGTGGGCTAAATAATCATTAAATAATTAATACTCTACTAATGATTAAAGACTGTAGCAATTACCACTCTGATGACAAAGGGATTTGTCTGACTTACATTTTTTTTACTTTTTTTTTATTTGGTAGTTAGCCCGTTACTGCTGTTTACTTATGATGAGTCTTCAAATATCGAAATAGATTTTCAAGTCATACTTTCACATCATAGCAATAAAATGAGCAAATTTTCGATTATTTAATATCAATTGTATACAAACAATAAGAAACAAAAATTTTAACATAACTATAAAACTGTCCAGTGAGCAGTAAAATAAAATAATTAAATGGGTTGGCCAAGTCTGGTCTGGTCCATCTAACTGTTATTAGTATAACCTATATTAAAGTATAAATCAGTATATAATATAAGATAATTCCATGGCAAAATAATTTAAAAACTTATAGCAATGTTTCAGTGGTTCATATATCTTTTAACAGAAACTTAGCAATGGTTATTAAAAAAATAAAATAAATAAAAGTAGAAACCTGACATTAAAATGCAAACTATTTGTCAATTCCAAATTTTCTAAATAACAATTTTATTAACCTTAATATAATTAATATTAGAAATATGCATGAATATTAATTAGTTACACAAACAAATTAAAAACATGAAAAACTTTTCTTTAAATAAAGTAATAAAGAAACATATTTTTGTTAAGATGTTACCTTTGTCAATGCTGATTTTGTGGGATAGGTGACAACAACATTTTGGCCATGAATATATTTGCGAGGTAAAGCCTTAAGACATATCTTTGAACTCTCCTCTGATCCAAGAGAAATCAAACAGAATCCTTTGGATTGACCATTAGCACGATTTTCAAAAAATTTGACTTCTAAAAAATCCTGTACACCAACTGAGCGCACAGCATCTGCAATATCTTGATCAGTTGTCCACTAGAACAGAACATAAATATTTGCAATTAGAATTATTTGAATTCCATGAAGTTTTCATTCACAAATACATTAAATCTTAAGTATAAATTGTACACACTATGATAGATTCAACCATTACAGAGTAACAGCATCCTTGAAGATTGCATTATTTCGTTGAGTATAAATGAATCGTCAACTCTTGTATTGTACCATTAAGTTGTCAGAAAATGTTCTTATATATGCTCATTGTATCATTTATTCAAAAACATAAACACTAATAAAAAAGCTATAAACACCAAAAAATGAGGTGTATAAAATGTGTGCTGTACAAAAACTTTGTTATTCAAGGAACTTTCAAACAAAAATGCATTAATAGATAAATTTAGACTGTTTTATCCTAATCTACAAATAGGCATCTTAAAACACAATAAAATATAATAATTTACCCATGTCAGATTTCCAATATACAACTGGTACTTCTTGCCAGAGTATGAAGAAGAGTAATGAAAACTCTCGGTATTCTCTTCACTGCGTGGAGTGCTGTTACCGGAGTTCTCATTATGAGTAGGGTCCATAACATCATCATAAATATCTATTTGGTCTCCATCATCCTGAAGACAGTTACAGTTAGTCTACTTGAATCAAATGATAACATTAGAAGAAAATTAAAAGAGTGAACATGACCTGTTTTGTTGGTGACATTTTTTTTTAGTTTGTTTATAAGAGGATAGATTGGATCTAAATTATACTCACAACTGATTATTTGAATCAAAATATTGAAACAAACATGTGTTATAAAAAATAGATTAATTAAGTTAATCATATAAAATGATATACAATAACGTTACATAACGAAAAATGAAAAAAAAAAATAAGATCTATCAATACAATTATTTTGTAAGATATGTTTTAAACATTAAGTTAATTGATTAGTTTTTCTTTAGTTGGGAAGTGTTGGTATATTAATTAAGATGTTGGCAATAAAAACTTCCAGTTGATGTAAACAAATAATGCATTAATTGTAAAGATGCCTTTTCTTTTTGTTGACGTTTCGGAAAATCTTTCCCATCTTCAGAACTTTTTCTTGCAATCACTTATATTCAATAGCTAAGCTACATGTACTCCTTTGTCGTAATTTAAACATTTTTACAACAGTGTTATCCAAAGCAACAACATTATTAGACTAACAGATACAAAATTTTCTTGCATCAATTGGAGGTTATTGTTTCCAACATTTTAATCATCTTTAGTTTCTATATAACATTAGAAAAATCATTCACTCATAGCCAATCTTAGAAGTTCTTAATATTAAAATATTGCTAGTTACAAAGAAAACAGAAACAACTCAAACATAACATCAGTTTTTAAGTTATCATTAATATTTCAAACTTTAGAAAATATGAAGGATATTAAACATAACAAAGAAAATACAATACAAGGATTTATAATAGAAAGTAAGGCTGAGAAAGCAGGGTCACAAAGCTTATTCTCTCTAAAGATGAAGGCAGGAAAAACTAAATAAATGATTAGTTTCTATGCACCTATTATTAAAATTTGTTATTAAAGTAAGTAAGTTCTTACTTGTGAATGTTCCTCATAATCTTTGTGGTAAATATCCATAGCATCTTTATCCGCCATGCCGGTAAACTAGCGTATCTTTTCCTCGAAAATGTTTTTCTCATATATCAAAAAAATGAAATATTAAAAACGTTCAATAAAATTGATAACTTTTAAAATTTCATTATAATTTACAGGATAATATGTAAACAATCTTTTGTATCAAGGTTACATCCAAAACATAATATACGATACCAATGACTAAAGTGCTGTATCGATACGTCCTAAAAGTTCTAATATCGATACTAAAGCCAAATAAGTTAGAGTACAGACAAATTATGTGTTTGATCAAGGTGAATAAAAACTAAATAATTGCCTAATCAAAGTGAATAAACACTAGCACCATAGAGGCGAATTTGTTCATCTTGGTGATTAATGACTTGTATCTCAAAAAAATCTATCATAAGTGGGTGATCGTTAACATAATTATTACCAACATTCTTGTAATTAGACCAGGAATACATAAATCCTAATTTTATATCTATTATTTTTATAGATGTAATTATTCTGTAAATGAAAGTAATACTCCCCTCCCTTTATTCTCAAACACTAATTCATTATAAAAACACCCTAGTGAAAGATTTCTGCGGGAGATTTCAAAACAAGAATAATTTGTAAGGAAATATTTATTTACTGGATTATTGAATTTCAAACCAGAAATACGAAAGTAAACAGAATATAAATAAGTAAAGTAGAGTAAAAGCACCAATCCCTGAGATCCACCTCGAAAAATAGGTGGCAATACAATAATAGGTGGCAAATCAGGAAGGTCTCTCACAGTCCACTTAATTTTGCAGAAACAACGATCTTTCAATAAGGACATCATACTTTTGGTTTGTCATTTCCTCTTTAACTTCTTTAATTTATCACAAAATTTTTGTTTTCTTTTTTCTTGGAGTATTTTTGGATTATGTTTTGTCTGTTTATAATCTATATTGTCAAAGGAATTTTGGATTTTTTCCCAGTTGTTGACTGGTTTGTATTCACAGAAATTCAAAGAGAAAACTCAACATAACGTGTCTTAAAAATGAACTATCCACTATTCTCTCATTTAAAGAAAACTTGCTAGTGATATGGATTAAATTCAAAGCAGAAATAGGTTTTCTCATTGCAAAAAACAAGCTCTTGACACGACCCGGTACTTGTGCATTTACCGATAAATTTCAACCGGAAAACGCAAGAAATTAGTTTTTTAATAATGTAAAGATAATTTCTGTATATATCTATCTTAAAATGAAGAATATAAAATGTAAACACCTTGTTTCGCATAATTATATCCTTGTTCTCATCTATGTCAGCTATAGTATTATTTCAAATCAAACTGTCAGCTACTAGTACAACAAAACTATTTATTAAATTTACAGTTTTTAAAAATAGAGGAGAATGTTTCAGGGATTTTAAATGCGTCATGACAAGGTGAGAAGCAGTTCTATAAAACGAATCCAAGAAAAATACAATAAATCAATATTTAAGTTTTTACACCTAAATTTCAAAGCAATATTCTTAAGCATGTCATCTACTGGTGCTTTTACCCTAAATTGAGAAATAACAGCACTTAGGTTATAACGAGTATTCCTTTTTACTTTTACTTACCTATATATGAATTATATAGTAAGGGAATGTATTTTCGAATCCGAGTTTTCAACAGAAATACACGTTTTGAGCTCCCCTGAGTTCAAAAACCTAGACCACAAAATGGTCTGTGTGTATGTGAACACTAGCTCAAAAACGAAAAATCGTAAGAAACTAAAATTGCGTATTTAAGGTTTGTATATGAATGTTATCTTGTATATGAACTGCACCTTTTTCATCAAAATCGGCGAACCTGAAGTGGCGCTTTATATAATCCCATAAACATTTTTACAATTTTCTCAAAAACGGCTCAAACGATTTTGATTAAACTCGGTATATCATGGTATAATCAAGTGATCTTTAACATCATTCAGGTATGATCCCCATATGATGTCACTTGAAAAACACACGGGTCTTGAATGCCCAATGTTCAACATGTCTACCTCTAAAATACCTTTAATTTTTTTTATTTTAAATAATTAACTATTTCACATTTTAGGAATTACAAAAAAATGCTAAGTGTAGCTTTTGAAATAATTTGATATTTGGACAATGGAGTACAAAGGGAAAATGTTTATTTAGGTCGAAAATGAATCTCCGGAAATACTAGTCAGAAGGTATACGTATAATATATCGTTGGAAAGCTGAAAATTTTAGAAATAAGAATATCCAATATAGAAAGCAGTAGAACGTAATAGAGAGTGACGAAAAATTATAAATATTAATTTGTGGAAACCAATATTATTTAACGGAAATCACACGCTTTCAAGGAAATTAAGTGAAATTTACTAACTAAATGTAAACTTTTTTTAAGTTTGAATAAGAAGTATTTAAAATCCACCTAATCAAGGCAATGTTATTGTTTGAAAAACTATTTCATAGTAATTATGTAATAGAAAAAGTGAAAAATAAAAATATTTCATGGATGTATAAAGCATATGTTTGTAACCTTAAATACAGTTACTGTAGTTTATTATTTCTAGATCTGATATTATATTTGAATAATTAGGAATCAAAGTCCGTTTATTCTGAAAAATATTTTTGTAACCGTTTAGAAAATTAAATTAGTGAATGGTTTGATGAATTTTTTCTTTAGGAAATCCAAACATTATCCACTTAAAATTAGCGTGACAACTTTTTACATATCTATTATCGCAGGCAATGAAAATCTCGTAATTTAATTTTAGTAAACTTTACAAAGGAAAATAACAGTTTAAAAACTAATAGGCGTGCAATCCTTAATCATTTATAGGTTGAATATAGATATACCTTTAAATCTCTCAAGGCATATAGATTAAGGATTAAGAGGGTCCGATGGTATGGAGAGAGTATTGAAAGAGATGGAAATCAGAGGTTGGAGGAGACCTGTCTAGGATAGCAAAGAGTGGAGTAGGATTGCAGAGGAGACTCAAGCCTTTTTAGGGCTGTAGCGCCATGGAGTGAGTGAATGAGTGGATAGAATCTGATAACATTGATACATGAATGATTACCTGCTTACCAAATCCTAACTTCCCTCTAAATTTGAACCAAATCTTTTATAAATATGAGGTTTTATAAATATAGACGTATCGAGGAAAACGCGTTTGCACACATATATATATGTATTGAGAAACTAGTGGACAGAATTCAATAAAACTGACACTACATTATTTTTTCACCAATACCAACTTTGAGCCAAATCTAAGGAACCGTTTCTGAAATATTGCCATATCTTGAAAATACATTTACGCTTGCGCAAGCAGAAGTGGTGGATGAAATTTGATAAAATTGACATGGGACCATCTGGACACATACTTGCACAATCACTGAAAATTTCAAGAAAATCGGATGAAAGCTAGTAGATTATATGCCCGTCACACCAATTTGACAACAGATAGACCAACAGACAGAAGACGCCGAACCAAACTGGATCCTTGATGTCCGAAACGTAAAACGCGAGTGGAAATTTTCGATTCTGAGCACAATTTTTTTTTTAACCTCTTGCACGAATACAATGCTTCCCTATCTTTGGTGATGAGGAGGCAAAAAAGAAAAAAACCTAACTACCTAAATGGTGGTTATGTGATTCTTGAAGTCGTATTAAAATGTAACTAAACGAAGAAGAATACTTTAAGAGATAATTTTTAAATACAATTTTCATAAGTCATGGTATTATTTTTCCATTTTTGGGAGCTCCAGCCCAAAAGCCCCCCTGCAAAAGCTCAAAGTAGCTGCAAAAGCAGCCCAAAAGCTCCGCCCGTGTTTCCCACCCTTCTTAACCTCTATGGCATCATGTCATGAGATATTTACGGAACAGTTTCTTTTAGCAGTTTTTTATTGGTCCTTCTTTTCCACTTGTAAAGTTTAGGATCCCGGATAGCTCTGGTCATCGAATGGAATTTTCTTTAAAATTACTCGATTCTTAGAGGCTAGGTTTCTCAGCCACACTAAAGAACTAGCGTTTATCACGGTGTTCCACACCCTTAATTTAAGATTTTGTTTATGATTTCAGTTTCCTTGAAAAAGGGAAGAAAGCTCTGTTTGCGCTAGTGATATTCTGGTCTATTTCTGTTTTTATTGAGGTATTGTGAAGCCCAGATATTTTAATTTAATCATTCTACTTTCGGGAAATGAGTTGGCCTTGACGCATATTCCGTTGTTAGAGTGAATTCCCTTCTATTATATGTTTTGTTTTTATTTTCATTTACTTGTAGGCCGTTTTTCTGTTCTTGTCTTATCGGATTTCTAGCGATTTTCTCCATGTACTTTTTTTGCTTCCGACATTCACTCCTTATCTTCACGTTACGTTTCTCTTATCACCTTCTTGTGGACTAAGTGAACAGTATTTGCGAGAGTCCATCTCCCTGTCTCAGATGTTTTCGAACTTCATAGACTTCAGATATGTCTTGCACCAGACCTCTGCTTTTAGGATCGTAGTTACATATCTTTTTTCAATCTCATTAACTTACCGGGAACACTTAGATCAGTTATGATCTTCCAAAGATTACAGTCGGCGGATTCATAAGGTGCTTTCATGTCGACAAGTAAAGATTTTTTCAGCACCTGTTTTAGGACGAAGGTCTAGCTTACTCCTTCCTTTCCTGAATCCTGCTTGGTAATTACCACATTCATTCTTAATACTTTATTTATAACGTAAGTTTTCATATTTTTTTTTATGAGTACTTGAAATTTTAACTCTAAAGATTAGAGACTTGATTTAAAACTTATATATATTAAATTCTGTTCGGTCTTTGAGTTATAACCGATATTGTTGCTATGTCAATTTCAGTAGGTACCTACGCATGTGCATATTTCTTTACAAAATCAATGCATTGGTTTGTTGAAGTCAATACTTCTGCGCATTGTTATTACATGGATGGTATATTAGCAAACATAAGATTTTAATGAGGTTTTAATTGGAAAATTAAAATATGTAAAAATGATTTATATCATAATATTTATCGACAATA